GTTTTATTAAGATTATGGAATTGAAATGGTAGGTTAATTTATTATTTTAAGCAATCCATTTCTAAGTATATATTTTTCAGAGAGAAGAATATACTAATTATACTTGTCATAAGACATTAGTATTAGGCCTATTATATTTTTAACATTACATTATTTGTTCAGTTCTTTAAGGATTTTTTCAAGAATTAAGAAGAGCTTTCAACCATACATCCATTGCTGATAACATATTTTGCTCAAAACGTAAGCTGTTGTTATAACAATAATTGTTATGTGTGAATGCCTTTTCATGCTTTACCTATTTAGAAAAGGCATTTACTTTAAAAAATTATACTCTTGGGTATTCTGAATGATACCTCCACTGCCACTTATGGCTATTTCTTGATCTCCATCTTCCGTTGTTTATTGCCATCTAAACATTGTGTTCGCTTGCTCCAGTCTTTTTTACCCCACTCAACTGCCCTCGGCAATATCTAATTTGCAAAACTTTACACTGGCCCTCATATGCCCTCTGTGCAGATACTGTATATAAGCACTGTATGCAGACAATGTAATCACTTTTTCTTGACATAGTGCGAGTGCTAAAAGTCATGTTTTATGGTTCACATTTTCATTTATAAAATTTTGAAATAATTATGGTGTTCTTTTTGTTTTTCTCCTTGTTGCTGATATTTCGCTGGTTTTTTTCTGAAGTTTAAAAAAAACATTGAGGGTATGAATTCCTGTGTAATGGTTTCTGTACCCTAACCAGCCAGACCTCCTTTGTTGTCTGGTGGTAGTCAGAAGTCAGGGATGGGGGGCTGTTCGTGACCTGATCTGAGGTGAGATGGAGTCCTTCATGTGGCCCTGGGATGTCTCCTCAGGGGGTTCAGAGATGGCTTTTCATAATGAACTTGAATATACTGGGATAAATTTAGACACTGTTTCCTGCTCCTTCTTTCACTAGGGCTGCCTCTACTGAGAGCTCATCTGATCAGCCACGTTCTGCCCCTTTTCTGCAGTTAGTTACGTGAGTTTTTGAAGTTTGGGGGATATTGCCATGCATGCAGGGAGGTTTGCAATGCAATTATGAAAGGGTATTGCTATACCTTTCCCCATCGTTTATAAGAACAACATGCTCTGGCTTATCATTGTCAGGATGAAGTATATTTGGACACTCAGTGGTTGGTTCACATTTTGTCTGAAGCATATCAATGCTCTCCTTATCAATTTGACGATGTACTGGGACCCTTACTGGTTACCACTACAGCTCATTTGTCCTCTTCATGCCTTGCCTTGGTGTCATGGTTGGTCTGTTGCTGGAACTTGTTGAGTTGAGATGCCTTGTTGGAGGTTATTCATTTGCCATCCATTGCTATTCGTGATTTACGGTAGGCACCCTTTCTTCAGCCTTACTTGTTTGCTGGAGTCCCAGAACATTTACAATTTTCTTTATTGTCGTTGGCTGCTAGCCTCTTTTCTACTCCAATGGGTAATTCTGGAGGATCAACCATTCACATCTCACGGCCCCCACCTTCAACACGTCATCCTATTTGTTCCATCGGGGATCTTCGGACAGGTCAGGGCGGTGCCAGCCCCATCGGTGACTACCCGTCTTCACCAGGTCCCGTGGGAGGACGGGTACATCTCTTTCACCACATTTGACATTCATTCACCATTGATCCTTGAGTTCTCAGAGTGCTGAGGGGCCTTAGGAACCGGCTTTTTATTCATTGGGATCCTGTGGTGTCCCAGGATTTATCATCCATTACATTAACCAGGGGGCTTCAGAAGTTGTTTCATATAGCCTATTTGGGGTTATCTGTTGAAGATCGAAATATGCTCCACGTCACTTCTTACCAGATTCGGCATCTGGACGATATTTTGCAGGCTGGTATGTGGATTTCTCTCAACACTTTCCTATCTCATTACCTTCATAATCTGGCAGTTTCCTCTTCTGTGGCTGTGTTGACTATCTCTGCTAGATTTTAACAAGAGGGTAACTTTCTTACCTGATTTATGGTTTTTTCTTCTAGGGTCCCTCTTTATTTCTTTCAAATCCCACTCAGAGGTGAGTGTTGCTGAGTCAGGTGTGCTTGTATTTTCAATTCTGCACTAGCAACCTTTATATCGGTTCATGGTTGCAGTGGGCTTTGTTGAGATAAGGTGTTCCATAAGACCATCTAGGCGCAATTCTAGATAGTAATATTATTTCACAATACAAATCTAATGGACCGCTACTCATGGACTATCATGAGTAAAACTAAAGGGGATATTGCCATTCGCTGCTGAACTTCGAGCTGAATCAGTCGAGATTGGTTTGCTTTTAAAATTTAGGGAACGTAGTTCACCTGTTGCACTGTCTCTGGAGACCTGTTACTCGTGACTCTCCACAGTTCACATGTCCCCACCCCCAAATGCTACCAGTTGAGCTAGGGAGTCCTTACCACACCCAGTTCCCAGTTGCTGGGGTGGTGGACAGAGGATTTCCTTCAGAGTGTTGAGTTTTCTGTACTCTTGGAGAAGAGGGCAAAGTTGGGGACCCTCCTATCCAGGTCCCTAGAAGTTTTTCCCAAATGTCAGTAGGAGCAGTACCAACCTATAAGGGAGCCTACTCATAAAACCAGTCCAGATTTGAACACTTAGCTATCTGGCGAGGTTGTGCTTGGACCCTCTTATGAGCACTGTCGGGTCTTAGGTTGTTCATACAGGGAGTCCAATATCTTCTCGTAAATCCCAACGCAACATGGTTCCATCTCAGGCCCTTGGTGTAACAGTGTTCCATGTCCTCTCCATAATTTTGGGTAAGTGTAATTCTCCTTGCCCACTTGGGGAGTGAAGATGACTGTTTGTCAATCCAGATTGGATGAGTTCTGGACCTTGGGTGGAGTATGACAAATAATGATCCAGTCAATCCGAGCCTGGGATGTTGCCATTTGGACTTCTTCAGGTTGATCAGAAGGATTATCCACTTTGGTATTGCTTTCTTTCTTTCATAAATCCAGTAGTTCGAAACACATTGTTCCGTGGCTGCGGGTGGGGATCCTATCACAAAGATATATATATATATATATATATATATATTTATGGTCCAACTGCCCTGGCCACCAACATGTGATATGGGTACCATGACCCCTTAAATCAAGCCCCGAGTCGTGGAATCTTGGTTGTGTGGTTGGGGCTGGCCCATCATACTTACTTGTGTATTATTCTACCCTTTTCAATAGTTCTGGGTGTAGAGCATACCTGTTTTGGATGTAGTGCAGTTTTTCCCACTTAGGTACCACTTTTCATGGTACACCTTTGTTCTATGCAGATGCTTTCTGTATGAATTATGCCCTCACTGGCCCCTCCACCTTCTCAATGTGGGATTCTAGCTATAAATGTCAGCGGAGGTATGTATGTTTTGAAAGTTATCTTTTTCCTCATCTGAAAATGTATTTCCAAACATACTTTCCTCTGCTGGCACTCTCCCTCCCTTCCTCACCACTAAGAGCCAGCATTAGTGACCAGGAAGGGGTAAGTCTAGAAAAAGTGATTATATTGTCTGCATACAGTGCTTATATACAGTACCTGCATAGAGGGCATGTGAAGGCTGGTGTAAAGTTTTGCAAATTAGATATTGCCGAGGGCAGTCAAGTGGGGGTATAAAGACTGAAGCAAGTGGTGGCAAAGAACAACAGAAGATGGTGATCGAGAAATAGCTATAAGTGTCAGTGGAGGTATGTTTGGAAATAACATTTTCAGATTAGGAAAAAGAGAACTTTCATTCACTCATGCTTCAATTAATGTTTCCCAACTTCTCTTACAACATCAAAGTAAGGAGACTGTGATAACTCAAACCATTTTATGTATGCACCAATTATGGTCAAAAGTAATACATGTGAAGCAAAATTTTCTGCCAGTATTTTGCTACATCTTTCTGGTTGTGTTATTTAATGCATGTCATATTATTGCAACAAAGTCTTAGGGTTTAATGCATGCTATATTATTGCAATAATAAAGTCATATTGTTGCTGCTTTCTTAAGTAAATTTTATTATCAGATAACATCAGGACATTATTATTATAAAAACAAGTTAATTACACATGCTCCTCTCTGCATACACCAAAACACACACATTCCTTTTGGTTTTTTAGCTTTGGGCATTTAGACATAACATCAGGACATATAAATTCACTAATAGTCTTTAGATAACTGATGTTGGAAAGATAGAGCTAGTATGTGATATTCAAAGTCAGATCTTCAGTTTGTTTAAAGGTTTTTTTTTTCCTGTTGAAAAGTTAAATCTAGTGTGTGATATTTAGAGTCAAGTGTTCACTTTGTTCAAATATGTTTTCTTTTCTTTTTTTTCCAGTTGGAAAATTAAATCTAGTGGGTTATATTCAAAGTTAGGTCTTTAGTTTGTTTAAAGATGTTTTTTTTTTTTTCTTCATGTGGAAGGTTAAAACTAATGTGTGATTTTCAAAGATTTTGTCTGGTAAAAAGTTAGTTTTCAGATGTAACATGAAATCCTACAAATGTTCTTTTAAAGTTTATGGTGCCAGAGACAAGATTATGAGTGAGAAGGCTTATTATCTAAAATGATGAGAGGATTTTTAGAGACAGCTTATACTTCTGAAGAAGATCACCAAAGTGTACAGTACATGTTTGGTTATTTTTCAGTCAGATATCTATCTTTTGAAGCTTTTGCATGTTTCTTTGGTGAGGATGTTTTATTTTTTAATAGAACAAATCACTTGTTTTTGGTAGCTCGAAGGATAGTAATTCAGTTTTTGGTCATTTGGGAAGTTATTTTTTATGGGTTTTATTTTTTTTCTAATTGAAGAACATTCTTGTCATGGCTCATTATTTTTAGCTTTGATTTTCTTTGATCTAATATAGAGCAGTTGTATTAGAATGTGTACATGATTATAAAATTATTTTGCATTGTTTGTTGTTCTTTATGTTTTTGCATGTAGTTTATTATTTTAACATTAATGTTTCCTTATTTTAATTATGCTTTCAGTTGTGATTTCGAATTTTTTAATGTTTAGGTCATCGTGGTATTCTTCTGAGCGGTAAGTTATATTTTGACTATTATGTTGGGACCATTTCAGGGCATGTAAGTTTGTTGTATATAATTTGTGATAAAATAAGTTTGAGTTCATATACTGTTTAACTCTTTCAGCACGGGCTTGGTCCCTGGGACTGACCTCGTAACCATTTTGTGCTTGTTATAGTTTTCATGCTATAACTTTTAGATTAGTAAGTGAATATTAAGAAAATTTGGTACATTATCAGTAAACATTGCAATGCTTTCATATGCAAAATATAACATTTATCAAATCTTAAGGTTTGTAAAGCAATGTTTTTCACTTGCCTTTTTTCTTTTTGCATGTTGTCTATCTAACATGCAAACTAATTTTCATTTCAAGATTAAAAATGCTTTTATGCATTAGAAAATTTTCATATTTCACATGTAAAATATTTGTAATGTCCAGATAGATATCAAACATTAGATTAATTACTGAAAATAACAGATAAAATATAAAGTTTTTTCTTAAGTGTACCGATTTGGTTGATTTGACTGATCTTGCAACCATCATAAAATATAAGGAAATAAATATAAATTATGCTTCTTTCATTCTAGAATGAACACAGATTATAACATGAAAATAAATGTATAGACTAAATAGCTTAAATCTCACGACATCATACATATATATATATATATATATATATTTATTATTTTTATTATATTGACCTTTCACTTATGCCTGGCTAACAATACACAAATTACAATGACGCGGCACACGTGCACTTGAGTTACCATATCCAGTAACATAAAACCGATCTTTGGTCTGTACAAAGTAACAGACATTGGATGGGTTTTAGTAGACTAGTATTATTTTGTAAAATACAGTCACATTTCAATTATTATATGTATATAGATTATTACTATTTACAAATATCTTCTTAAACTTATTTTTCTTAAAACATAGAACAGTAAATAAAGAAGTAAAGCAAACAATTATTTCAACTAGTTATGACCCTTGTACTTGGTTGCTGCTTGACGTAAGTTGCTAAGCCATTAAAAAATTTGCACGTGGAGGATATGAAACAAAATAATTTTTTTAGGTTTTTATTATATATATATATATACATATATATATATATATACA